ACCCGATCCAGCTATTTGAGTATCGGACCGATATCTGGTACCAGTATCGGTATCGGTGCATCTCTAATTAAAACTGTGCTGAATTATGTTGAATTTTAAAGATTTTCACGCCTAGCTTATACAACCATTGTGCCAACAGCATTTAGATGATTACACATCAATATGTAGCAACTTCTGCAGAGTCTCATTGCAACAATTATTGGCAAAAGCTCTACTAAATTAATTAAAGTGGCAATAGACAACTTTTCAACCTTTCGCCCACCCATACCGTTTCCAAGTGGTATTATTGTTGATATTGTTATCAGTGAAGCCGATGCGTTAGTGTCTAAAAACCTGCATTCTCTCTAGTGTCCACCAGGGGGCGACTCCTCTGGTTGTATAGACGTCTATGAGAAAGTGACTCTACTTCTCTCTTGATTTATTACCTCAGTAAACATTGTAAACATGAGTTTATGGTCTCAATCTCTAGTTTCAAGTCTTCTTCAATACAGCATGATGTTCATTTAGTACATTATGGTCCATTTAGAGTCAAACAGACCATAAAGCAGGGGATGCTTTAGGGCGGGGCTAATGTGATTGACAGGTCTCTACCAGAGACGTATACAGCGTCTTTATGTCACTCCTCAGTCCAAATATAGTCACTTCTGTTCACTGGTTACAAAAAGTTAACATGGTGACAGACGTAATTCAACATGGTGACGGCCAAACTCGAGGCTTCAAAACATCAGCCCACAAACCAACGAGTGACGTCATGACGACTACGTCCACTTCTTTTATACAGTCTGTGGATCCTCTTCCTGTTTTGGCTGACGTACTCCCATGTTGTCGTACATAGAGCCTTCATTTACCCAGGAGATCGTACCCGATGGCAGACAGAACTGCATAGTGAAAGCAAAGCTTATAGGGAATCTTAACGCAGATGGTGTCATTATTCTACAGACATTACAAATGTGCAATAAACATTTACTTCATATGTTAAACCAAAAAAACTTGTTTATTGCCACTTTAAAAAGTGTTTTTTAATATATTCCCTTCATGGTTAGTGTAGATTTAATGGAGGAATCGGAAAACAACTGATTACTAATGTAATTGATGTGGACAACAGGACCAATAATTTTGGATAAAGAGAGGTCAGAGGGCTCAAAGGCTACGAGTCTCTGCTTGGTTGTAAACATTTTTACTTTACTGGGTCACCTCCAGTTCAGACCATCCCTTCCATCAAGATAATAACCCAGGCTTCATCGGATGCAGTAGATCAGAGGTCTCCCGGTGGTCATCCTCTATCAGCAGCTCTGTGGTGGTAGGATGTCACAGGTCAGAGGTTACAGGTAGCAGCACCGCTCTGAGGTCCAAGTCCCCAAAGCAATTATCTTATGGCTGCAGAGGAAAGTGCTGAGTGGTTCTCTGTACTATTTTTATTGCTTCCTTCCTTGAGTCAACCTTTCGTTGTCGTTCTTCATTTTACTGTCTCTCTCTCGTTAACCCCTCAACCTCAGGTGGCTTCTGAACATCTGTCTGCAGTAGCATTTTCACTATCTATTAATCTGACGCTACCTTTTCATATTAATTGATACTAGTTTAGTCTATGGAACTTAAAAAAAATACCCATCGCAACTTCACCGAGCCAAACATGATATCCTCAAAATCGTTTTTTGTTCCAAATACCAAAAAATATCTAGTTTACAATGATTTAGGACAAAGAACAGCAGGAAATGCTCTCATTTGAGAGGCTGGAATCAGAGAATATTGGAAGTGTTTTACTATTTCTGCTTGAAAAATGACTTAAACGGTTAATGGATTATCAAAATAGTTACCATATTATTCTATTTTTGGGGCTTTTATTGTATGTAAAGCACTTTATGAAAATAGTTTTTAGAAAAATGCTCCACAAATACAATAGTTAATGTAACACACAGCCAGTTCTCCTGGATGTGACGACTATACTTTCACCAGCTCGACATCTTCTTTCTGCACAAAATAGAAGGAAATATTTTGTAATGATTAAACATTTGCTAATTACTGCATGCGGCTGAATGTGAAACACATCGTAGGTGGCACAGAAACTCCACACTCTGCTCCATAATGGTGTTAATGGATTTGGTCCTCAAAGAGGATTATTTGGTATTCGGCTGTTTATGGACGCCCTGCCAGTATAGCTGCAGTCTGAATAAAATAACCTTGTGACTTTTTCTTGCACCGGTCCTCACAAAAAAAAAAAGGAACACTGAACTGATGACCTGCACAATCTGTTCTTTCTTTTCAATTAGTCTCTGCACTACCACATGAATGATTCATAGAACCCGGCCTGAGCCTGTATTAATAACTAATAAGGATAAGTGATATCAGGGAACAGCGTGTGCTCGGGCACGGCAGAGGGTCAGAAAGGTCCCAGATTACACGAGACAGAAATGTAGGAGGCCGTCTGAACAAGAGATCGAATGGACCAGTTCTGCTGGTTATTATCCGAGCGGCTTGTAAATTATACCGGTCATTTCGGGCCTTATTCATGCCGGCATGGTCTGCCACAGCTCCGTGTAACGGCTCGTGCAGGAAACTGCGTTCGGCTGTCGTGAAGTACGAGTTGGTCTCTTGATCCTGTTTAGATAATACAAGCGGCTCGCAACCTCCAGGATTTAATCGTTTGAAACCCTCTTTTTCGCTAATGTGGTTTAAGAGGATTTCCTCTATACGTTATTATGGAATCAGGCAAGTCTTTTCCTGAGAAGAGATAAGCTCCTTCTTTTTTTTGTTGTTGTATTATCTCAGCATCATATGTTTGACTCTTTAACACACAAACAAATACTCACACATACCGACACTAAATTAACTCACATGCTACCTCTACCCAAAAGGGGAACGATGCAATGTCCATCGTGGCGACATCAAAGTGGCCTTTCCCATCGATTGCCCGGTTCTGTGTCACAGAGAAACAGGTTGGCTAATAGGGCTGCATTATGCAACAGCATGCAGCTGTAGGCTTTTACGCATAAATCCCTGACAGTGCTCAATTTGAGGAGATTAAAGTTGAGCGAACGCCCACCCCGACAGCGGCACATGGTGGGCACCGCGGGGTCAGTATCAGTTTTTCTACACTCTGCCTGGACGACAGTATCTGGGAGATACTGAGTTTACAGTTTTTAATATTAAAAAAGGCATAAATAACAGGACTGAGATACTATAGAGGGTTGTACCTGTTTTTATTTCTCTGCAGCTCGTTCAGTGATTCATTTGTAAAACTCAAGAGTTGTGGGCGCTAATCACAAGAGAGCTGAATCAACAGTCTGTAAAATCACTTCTGTTTGCTCTCCATAATTCCTATTTGTTTATAGTCTCATCTCGTCGCCTCTGAACGCTGCGACAAACACGGTTAATGACATGCTCGGCTCACAGAGCTTCGCCTTGCTTCTTTTTAATCCAGTCACCTCTCTGCATGTAGAGACTGTGTGCCAACACCCTGAGACCTGGCTTTGTTCTGTGTTGGGTCGTCGTCTGACTTGCAAAGAGAAGCACTTATTTCTGCTCCGTCGGCTCTTTCTGTATTTAGAAACGCAACTTTGATTAGCGCGCACGTGCCGCACCGGCATCCAGGTCCACATTAAACTCACGTGGCTACGATTACTCTCGGTAAAGGCACCTGTCCCCGCCGCAATAAATTTGGATTTTTTTATTAGCGTCATTATTTTCTCCCCCATGGCCGACAGTTTGCTCTCGCCACAATGCCCACAGCTCAGCAGCTTTCTGCTCGGTCAATGCTTCTTGCCAAAAGATTTATTTGTTCTACCTCGTTGGATCACTTGTGTCCGACGGACTCGGCTGAGACGGGAGCGACCGTTGTTCGGTAGAGGGACGATAATATACGGCTTTGTACTGTGGAAGAGGTCGGGGCACAACAGAGACAGGTCACACTGTGTTCCCATCGCCGCTCGTGGAATTATGTGTTGGCATTCATTACATGTCTTAGATAAATTGAGTTACAGCCAAAGACCGGGTACACTGACAAACACACAGCGACAAACTCCACATCAGGGGGGAGGTCGTGTCCAGTGTGACGCCAGAAGTTGACTAATTAGTCCGAGTAACTTCTCTTCTGTAGTTTTTTGAACCCAAACCAAAATGTTTTCCAAACCACAACTCTGTAGTTTTGTTGGCAAAACCTAACCAAGCATTTTCCTGTGAAGACTGAAGTTTATTTTGAAGCGATTGTATGAACGCAACCAGCTGAAATCAACATTCGTTGGAGAAAGCACAAAAAAAGGAGGAGTAAGTATTTGTAAGATGATTTTTCTCAAAGCGAGTCACAGTAATGAATAGAAACGGGGCGTTGGACAAACAGTCAGAGCTGCGTTGTTCCCGGCCAGTTAGTACACGTTTTTCATGGACATAATGCGCAAAATATTCAAATAACGCAAATGTGTTTTTGTAGAATGATTATTGAAATGATCAAAAGAGCCCTGGTGATGTTTCAGCTTGCTGGATTGAGTTTTGTCTCAAGAATGTGGTCATGTTGTACAGATTACATTCACATCTGGATCACAGAAGGATCCAGATGCTTTGACGTGCAAAAAAAGAGTGTTTTGGGGTGGACACCTGTCAATCAAGGCCTTGGACAACATTAGTGACAGGCATCCAAGACTTTCCCTCCATCCAGCCTCAAGGCAGATTTTGTTTGTGTAATTTTAAAGGAACTTGGACTTGCTGTGTTTTCCCTCTTCACCACAAAGCCTCATCACTTCTATGGCCTATTGGGGGATTTCCCAGGATGTACAGTGAGCAGAAACCTCAGCAAGTCCCTTTAATAACCCTAATGTGTTGTATATCAGAATACTAAATCAAGCATGCTCCATCTACTTGGAGAATCAATAACTGTGTGATTTCCCGGCCTCATTGCATAAGATGAGCAGAATATACTCGATGTGTGAGAGGCTGAAAGTGTTGCTGATCAATACCAATGTGTTGGTGCATTCGTGAAAGTAACGGAACCTTTTCTTTCCTCTCTTCAGCCAACAATCTTTGGGACATTAACCAACGAGAGAGCGCTGTTTGACAACAGACTGGTGAGTCACCTCAACATGACCTTTTATTCTGTTTTTTACTGAATGATGATGGAAACGCAAACAAGGACGTTTGGGTCTTCAGGGGTGTTCGGGTGAAGTTGGGAATTAATTGAAAAACGGAAAGTAATGAGAATTTTAACTAACCCCAAATTCCCGAGGATAGAAATTCCCAGAAGCGGCAACAGATGTCTGTGTTACCGTGTGTGTGTATGTGTGTGTGTTTTCAGAGCTGAGTTTTCCCTCCAAATATGGTGGAATCTAAGTTTGTGTTCATACTAATACATTTCTTTTTAAATAATGTCCACCGTTCAATCATTTCCTTGCACGACAGATGGGGAAAATCTCGTCTCTTTGTCGACGATGTCACGTTTTTGATGGAACACAAAGACTTCCTCGGTCTCTGTGTTGTTGTGTGATGCGAATGGCGATGGCAGACGCCACAGAAAGCCAATTAACCGGCAACAAAGGAAATTATTAAGCTGCCTGGTTGTTTGCTTGGCTAGATCTACCGGAGGAGGGGAGTCTGTGGTGAGTCTGTGCCAACTGGCACTTGTCTTGTTTAATTACTTAGCCCCGCGGCACCCAATGAATCCGGCAGATTTATGGATTCGTCCATTTCCCATTCATTGGAAAGCATTAAAAGCGTCCCTTTATGTCTCCAAAGCTCCGCCAGATCTTTGAGCAGGATGCTCTGTCTATAGGCCTCTGTCTTTTCTCAGTCTGGTCTCAGTAATGGACTGCAGCAGGTGGGTGGGCGGTCCAGTGTTTGATTCACAGGTACATACATTCACTGGTCATGAAAACCCTTTTGAGAGTGTGAAGAACCAAACCTGGTCCAAAGCCAGACCGGATTATTGATGTTTGGTGGCGTTTGTTGGAATGTATCCACGTTTTTTTCAGCTGCCCTGAAGAGGAAAAGTCTGGCACACTAAGGCTTCATTAAGGTTCGGATTGTTGATTGTGAACCCAAAAGCCTCTGAGATACCGAAGTTCTACTAGGGATTGTTTTTTAATAGATTAAATGTACGATTATTTTTTCGATCAGTTGATTAATCTTTACAGCTAACTTAATGATTATTATAAAGATACATTTTTTAATTTAAAACAATCGATATACCCAAAATAAATATCAAAAGGTTCGATGATGCATGGTGTAACGCTATGTTGCCATAACAGCGGCGGTGCAGAAATTACTTTTATCATTGGGCGATGAAGAAACCTTTAGAAAATCAATGTTAAGTGACGACTACTAACAAACACACCCGTTGATACACCGTATACATCATTCTTTGGGACTAAAAGTAAAAAAGAGCTGCCAGCTTGACAAAGCTCTCTGGGATGCTTCTTCACAAATCACAAAATATTTAGTTTGAGAACTAATTCCATTTTGAATTTCCAGACTAGTGGCACAGAATACCATGAAAAATCCCAAATATTGATTTTAATGGCTACAATAATCATCTCTGAATCCCAAATTTGTAATTTTTACACATTGCTATTTTGACCTGCATGTCATAGTCATTTTAATCATTTGAAGGCTTTTTTTGTGAAGTAGTAAAAGCAAATCCAGTTAAAAAAAAGAGGCTAAACTAATCCTGATCCTCATCACCCCACTCTGCGTATGAGCACCCATTGGGGGGGTCACAAATCAGACTTTATAGGGTTCATGGGCTGAAGCTATTGAGAACCACCATGTGAGATAATACCAAGCGTTCTTTGTAGCTGGTTTAAGTCTTGCAGATAATCCACTCGGGGTTCATTTCACTTGTTCCTCCTGAAGAACTGTGAGGTTAGGTGAGGTTTTCTCTTCCTCTGACAGAAATCCCCTCTGGATTTTGTTTTTTTGCCTGGGCCTCAAAAGTGTGAAGGCACAGGTGGAACGGGTGCAGGCGCTGGCCGAGGATTATGCTAACATCGTGCATACCGAACAATGGCGCTCTCAGTGGGACGTGCAGCCAGAGGAGGCAGCCGCCATGATATCACCACAGCCGGCTTAACATCCATGCATCAGGGGGCTTTGTGGGATTAATCTAATAATGAAGCCAGAATTGCGCCTAAATCGAATTGATTTTTTTTCACCCGTATGGACATTGTACTCATCATTGTACAGCGGATAAATCCACCAATGCCGCTGCATTTGACTCCTCTATCGATGAACTAAGAGGTTTAATTGGGATGAACGCTATGTAAAGAAGAACAGGAATAAAAAGCCTTAATTTCACAAGATTTCCTCTGAGGTTCTCGATAACCGCTAACTCTTTGCTGCAACTGTAATTAATTTCATGACTGCTGTAATTTAATGAAAGATAATTTACTGCAGTAATTTGTCGACAGTCGCGTTGCTTGTTGGTTTTAATTAAAGACGAATAAACAGATGAATAAAACGGCACCAAATGGCTTGTAACGGATTGGGAGTCTTTGGCCGTTAATAAGGACGGGTTTCCCATGACAACGAAAGCAGGAGGCCGACCGAGGAACCAAATACTGTGAATTTTAATGAAGCTGAGGTTTCGGTATCACATTGAGTGTCTCCCATTAAGCCTGATGGTGGCTGTGTTTACAGTCCTCTGCTATTAAATTGGATAATTTATCTTTAAATAATGTGACTTCTCATGCGTAGGCTACTTTAGTTCTGAAAATGCCCATAATAGCTCGTTTCGCTTTACTTAAAGTGTAAAATCCAAAGATGTTTTGGTTTGCAATGATATAAAACAACAACCATCAAATCCTTACAGTAAAGAAGCATGTTGGTATTTTGGGAAATACAATTATTTGCTTTCTTTATTAGAGTAAGATGAGAATATCTATACCACTCTCGTGTCTGTGCATCGAGTATGAAGCAAGAAGCGGGAGGCGATTAGCCTAGCTTAGCATAAAGACTAGAAGTGAGTGGAAACTGCTAGCCTGGCGCTGTCCAAAGTTCAAAACAGATCTACCAACGCTTCTGAATGTCACTAATTAACACAATTCATCTTAATCCATACACAAATGTAGATTTATGGTTTTAGGCAGAGTTACGTCCGGGAACTATTTACGTATCGTCAACGCGAGGTTTGCAAATTGTCAATTCAAACCATTCTGTTTGTGTACAGATTCAACAAATAAGAGCTTTAGAAGCACTGGTAGGTTGTTTTTTTTTTTTACCTTTTGAAAAAGACTGGCTAGCTATTAACCCCTCCCTCTTCCAGTCTTTATGCTAAGCTAAGCTAAGCTAATAGCCTGCGGGCTCTAGCTCCCTGCTGAACATACAGATATTAAAGTGGTGTTGATCCTTTCATCTCACCCTCAATAATAAAGCAATTATGTTTGTTTCCCAAAACGGTGAACTATTCACGAATAGGAATTACGATTTATCGTGATTTCTTTTACTGAAATTCAGCCATTTAGCTGATCCTCATACTTGCAGCTGTTTACATCGGCCAGGTAGGATTCAGCATTTTGTGACGAATTCCTGTTGATAGACTCGACAAAGTCTGATTCAGGGAAGTTGGAAAATTTGTGATCTTTCAATTACAGGATGTTCTGTCTGACTGTGAGGCCAAAACATGTCAACATGTTCTCACTCGTTGCTCATTTGAGCATTTTGGTCTTTTCACCCTTTACTAATGTCCCAGACCCAGAGCATCCGTTGCATAACTCTAGACCATGAGAGGCACGATAAGTACGTGGCACACGAACGATGTGTGTTTAACTCTTAAAATGCAGGCCGCTTGCATAAGCCTGGTGTAAGGAGCACTGGTTATGTAAACGTGTTTCTCAAAAGAAGGCAGAAGCCAAAGTATGTTCCTTCAGAGGTCTGATCTTCCTCCAAGAACAGCAACCCACTGCTGGGAACGGGGACATGGGCCAAAACCAGAGTGCTGCATTTTTCCTCCTCGTCCATTTGTGTGTGTGTGTGTGTGTGTGTTTTGTAACATAGTTGGAAGCAGAAACGAGCCAAGAGTGCTAACGGAGTGTATTAAAGTACTGTAACTTTCAGCTAAAGGGATGCACCCGACATACTGGACCTCGTCCTGCATCGACCAGGAAGTCATGGTTACGACACTCTAACACCCTCTGTGTTTATATGCACCCAACTAAGCTAGTAATTGGTTTAATTTATGATTTTGAGTAATTCCAACTGTCATGGCCTCGGCAAGATTATTGTTATTGAACCAAAGGTTCAGTGTGTAGCATTTCGGTGGATCTATTAGCAGAAATGGACCATCATTTTCATGACTATGTTTTCATTAGTCACCTGAAACTTTGGCTTAGAATTAGCCCTTTGGGAGCGGGTTCTCTTGATGGAGTCTGCCATGTTGCACTGCCATGTTTCTGTGGTAGTCCAGAACAGACAAACCAAACACTTTCCCGAGAGAGAGCATTTGACGTTTTTACCTTACCTGAAGGCCACCGTAGTTCTCCGACATGCCTGTAAACATGAGTCTATGGTCTCAATCTCTAGTTTCAAGTCTTCTTCAATACAGCATGATGTTCATTTAGTACATTATGGTCCATTTAGAGTCCAATGGGTGACGTCACGATGACTACGTCCACTTCTTACATACAGTCTATGGTTGATACGACCAAATCATACACACTGTCCCCTTTAAATGGACGCCCCAGTGTGTTTTAGCTCCTAGCTTGAATACTTTGCTGACCATGTTTAAATGCATACTGTCTCAGAGTTCCAGGCAGTCATTTGTGTCCATTCATCATCATCATCATCATCTTCCGTTATCTCTCTGTTGAACTGTTGAACCTGATGAGCAGCACAGACAACGACAGCTATCTATCAAATACTTGAGAATGTTTTTTTGACACCCCACTGACATTTTCGGTCCAGTTGGAGATGTAATCCTGTTAGAGCCCACATGTGATGAGTGCCATTCGGAGGACAGATTATTACAAAGCCCCATACAGTACCACGAGTGCTGACATTTTCACATGGGTGGTCTCAGTGGGAATTGAACTCCCGACCCAGGCTGTGTCAGGGACAGGGCTCCACATGGCCCTGTTAA